ACACACACACACACACACACACACACACACACACACACACACACACAGCATGTCAGGTTTCATACAGCGCTTGAAAAAGGGACCATATGTCCACATGTCATCATATTGTGATGTAAGAAAAGTCTTCTTCAGATTCACGATGTCATGTATGAAAAGACCCAGAATATTCTCTTTAAGAGGCCTGCTTGAATACTATGACAACAGCAACAACAACAGCAAGCGACTGATCACTGTGACTGTGATCACTACGAGTTTTCTACTGCAATTAAAATAATTATTAAAGATATTATGAATGATTTCAAAAAAATGGAATTGTAATTTAAATTATAGAATTGGTGAAAAACTATAACCAATTATTTTGCACAAACATGTCAGCATCTAAATGTGCAGAAGTGGAATCCTTTTCTTTGAAAACTGTGTAAGTGGATTTTAAGAAGACATTTCTTCAGAAGAACAGTTGATCAATGAGGCCCAATGTTCACATTTAAGTTAAAACATAAATCAATATTTTAAAAATATATTATGAAAGGAATATGTTTGGGAGTTTGACACATTGTCTTATAAAGAGATAAAAACAGAACTGTTCCTGGGTACCTTTTAGAATATTGGGTTCAGTAGTCCGTTTAAAGCTTTATTGTGTTTGGACATGAGGAGCTCACGATGGACAATTTTGATTTAAAATAAGGATGAAAACCAATGCAGCAGAAGCAGAGAAACGGTCTCTTTAATTCCACACATTCTTCTTTGTTGTCAAAACCTCACGCCTACATTGCCCACAATGCAACTCAACCATTCAGTCTCAAGCAGAGATGAGGAGCACGGCTGCAGAGGTTTGGGGCTGTACACCCCCTGGATTCTTTTAAATTTAAAACTTGTAGCCTTCAGCTGACTCCAGTTATCTCACGTGAGGTTATTAATGAGACTCCACGACAATAGACCAGTAAACAGACTGTGATGTACAGTTCAGTAGGAAAGAAGTTTAGTCTCAATAGGAAAAAGATCATTTGCAGTTTTTAAAAACCTCCCTCTCCTCCCTCTCCCTCTCCTCCCTCTCCATCCCTGAAACAGCTGTTTGCGGCAGCCGTGTCAGCTGGACAGCTGCGCCCCCCCCCAGCTAGAGCACGCCTCTGTCAGGTAGGCCCTTTGAAATGAAACCCCCGAACAATTGGAAGAGAGCGGAAGAACAAACAAAAGAACTATCTATATATCAGTGTGTCTCTGCAGGTGTACAGGAGGAGGGGAGTCCTCCTACTGCTCTGTCCAGTGTCACCGCGGTTTCAGCATCACTGTCCTCAACAGCAAGGGAACCCTTCCTCACCAGGTACACGGAACATCACTGATGGAATAACACCATGCAAAGTCCTTTGTCCAGTTTTGGCGATAGTCCTCCTGCATCATCAGGTCCCTCGTGGGGAATCAAAGTTAGCAGCACTTTGATGCTTCTAACGTGCATATTTTGTAATCTGTGGTGTGACAAAGAGCTCACAAAGAAATAAGTGATTATTGGTGTTATTAGACTGCACAACGATGTACATGAGACGCACAGTAATGATTCAGGGCTTATAATTGTGGGATCGCTGTCACACAATTTACTGTTTACAAGCACAGCAGTCTTAGCAGCTTTTGACCTGTATATCAGGGAAAACACCCTCTCTGACATGCATACGTGTTGCTTTGCATAAATCGGTCATACATGGCCTTATGCAGATCAATCAAACCACGTCCCTATAATCAGATGGATTTAGTATTATTTATTAGTAGTTTAGCTTTAGAAATCATCTCATTAAATCCAGTGGTTGGTTAGTTGGCTTTCACACCACAAACGAACCGTACCAGATTCCGCTCGGGAGAAGACCAAGACCCGCCTTTTCAAGCGGTCCCAGTTGGGTTGGTCTGGTCTTCACCAGAGTCTGATTCACATCTTTCTCTCCAACCAAAAAAACAAACTGTACTGCACAAACGTAGCTGACTTCATTTTAGCCGAATCAAATAGATTCAGATCTGATACAGATCTCACCAAAGGCTTTTCTCTCCTGTCTTTATGTAACGGGTCAATAAAAAGGTTGTGCCAAGTGAAAAATCTGTTTTGATTTTTCAGACTCTCGGGGCTTCCGTAGATTTCAGTTTGTCCTTCCCACAAATTCTAGAGTAGTCCTACAATCATTTATTCCACTCTTTGTAACATTTGGTGTTCTTTTTTCTCTCAACATTTGTGGTTGTATTCCCTTTTGCTTCCAAAATCTGGGGTAACTCAAGCCTCTTATGAAGTATGAGGGAAACAATGCATACAAATAAAAAACAAAATAAGTCACTTCTAAAGATTACAAAGGGTTGAGGCAAAGGCTTGAATATTGAGATGGAAATCAGTAAGGACCTCCCGCTGTCTTCATTATTACATTTGTAATATAATGTGTCATCAGGCATGTTTAGAGGGTTTGTTTTTTTTGTCGTTCTTTTTTGAATCCTTTTGGAAATGAGACAAACTTCGTCTTTTGTTCCAGAGAGAATCACAGCTGGAGTGCTTCCATGGTTCGTGGGATCGTGTAGTTAGCTGTCAGCCTGTAGACTGTGGCCTGCCCGATCAGTCTCATGTCTACCATGCCATATTCAGTTGCCCCTGGGGCACCACCTTCGGCAAACAGTGCTCCTTAACCTGTGGATCACCAGCTATACTGCAAGGTAAGCTATAGATACGTCTATTCTAGGACGGCCATTCTAATCTAGTCCATTAGTTCTAGTCTATTGTTAGCATGTTCTTTGTTAAAGGGAGCATTTGCCTCCTTTTATATGGATGTCCAATCAGCTTTGAAGGGGAAACGTAGTCAACTGAATTAAAAAAGTCCTCAGCGAGTGCTATATTGACAGAGAAAGCAGAACCGTGCAGGCAGTGCCTACATGTACCAGAATGCATTGCTCGCCAACACACTGATTGGACGTCCACACAAAATGTGACAGATTTTCCCCTTTAAACAGCAATGGATCATAAAAAACACTGTCAGGCTCACTGTTTTAAAAAAAAGATTGAAAATCCTCAAAATGATGATACTATTATTGCTTATATGCTGCTGTTCTCTGTTCATGAGATTAACCGAAATTCAACGAGTTTCAATCAAACCGACTTTTTGAATTATTCACATTGCTGATCGACATTCTCAATCAAACATACCTTTGAATCCCGCAATGTTCTCTGCTGCTACGACCGACCTCCTGATAGTCACAGCTCGGGGTAGTGAACTCACTAGATCTCCAGCAAGATGCTCCCACTAGTCACAGTCCATAAAATGAAAATTAAACCATGATTTTACACAATTACACTTTAAAATTGGCTTGTTTCTTGTTATTTTTTACAGGGCGCATCCTGTTAAAGTTAAAGACAGTGTTTAAAACAAATTAGTTTGAAAAAGCAGCTCAGACCAGGGGAACTAATCTACAATGTTGCAATAAAAATCTCAGAGGGAATGCCATTTACAAAATCACAACCATGGCTTTTCTGGCTCCTCACAGCGCTTCTCTTTGCTTTATGGCTTTTTAAAACGTCAGTGGGGACTGTAGTTATTTAAAATTCAGGATGAACACCGACAGAAACATCTACATGGCATATTCCTGCTCACACACACACACACAAACACACACACACACACACACACACACACACACACACGGCACAACCTCCCCTCCATGTCCACAATGATTTTAAAAACACCACTTGCACCATAATGAGTCAGAACAATGATGGCACCTGTAATTTGCAGTACTGCCACACACATACACAAATTCATATTTACACACTAAAATAAAAAATGAAAACGCATTGCCCCTTTTTGGTAATGCGAGTTACGCAATGTAGTAGATGCTTCTTGAAGTGATTAGATGGAACAAGCACGATGTCCACACACTTGTGTTTGTGGTTCAGAAAGAGTCAGCACTTAGAACCCATGTATTCATGATCCCAAACACAGATTGCACAGATATAATTCTATTTGTGGCTTTGGTGAAATGTGCTCGAAGGCCATCATGCATCGCTCGGCAGCAAAGAGCACAGTGTCTTCAGTGCACACCAGTGCAGCTGTGATGGATTTTGATCACCGCAACACCAGCACAATGTTTAAATGGCTAGTAAAAATGTAATGCCATGTTAAAGATTCATTACGTTTTATAGTCCAAATAAAACAATGCGGGGCTGTGATTCTCCGAGCGTACCGACGCTCGTGCATGTGAGGCTATGCAGGCGTAGGAACTATTAGCTGAAGTCTCTTTTCTCCTCATAACTGTACGAGACAGAGCGGGACACAAATCAATCCATGCTGTTGACCTACTTGTATTTCTTTGTGTACTTCTTTGTCTTTTAGCTGTACAGAGTTCTAAACAGTGTGGTGTTTGCAGCTTTCTCAAGAACTGCTCGCACAAACAACTTATGCTCAATTCAATACACTTAGACCTTTTACTTTGGTAATGTTGGCACACTTCATATAGATATTGCTGTGTAACCAGGCACCAACCTCCAGTTCTGACGAATAAAGCCAATGCTGAAGTTTCTTAAAACCTGCATTCTCTCTAATGTCCATCAGGGGGCGACTCCTCTGGTTGTATAGAAGTCTATGAGAAAATGACTCTACTTCTCTCTTGATTTATTACCTCAGTAAACATTGTAAACATGAGTTTATGGTCTCAATCTCTAGTTTCAAGTCTTCTTCAATACAGCATGATGTTCATTTAGTAAATGATGGTCCATTTAGAGTCAAACAGACCATAAAGCAGGGTATGATTTAGGGCGGGGCTACACGGTGATTGACAGGTTGCTACCAGAGACGTATACATCGTCTCTATGCCACACCTTCACAGTCCAAATATGATCACTTCCTGTTCACTGGTTGCAAAAAGCCAAGATGGCCACGGACACATTGCCGAACTCGAGGCTTCAAATTGACGTCATGACGACTACGTCCACTTCTTATTTACAGTCGATGTGTGTAACTGACATTACTGAAGGTTGTGAAGTCAGTTACATGTTGGTGACTTCATAACTCTTCTCTATTTTATAAGGTCACACTTCATTTCATAATGTCACAGAAACATTTCTGTGGTTTTATGAAGAAAAGTAAGACATTAAACCACCAAGAGACATGATTGTTGTTTCCTGCTTGTGGTCCCATTGAACTCACTCTGTCAGGGGTCACCTTCACATGTTATATCGTCTCCAGTGACGTAATGTCCCATACAAGCTGCACTTTAAATCAAGGATTCACTGGAAAAATGTCGAGGTAAAGTCAAAGCTGTCCTGAAGTGAAAAGTAACACTTACTAACTCTGACTTCTGATCCTTCCACATAGATGCTATGGAAGCTCTTCCAACCACACCAGTCAGATGAGCGTTACGATACAAACTAGCTAACTGCATATAGATAAAACAAAACCAATTCTGTACCATCATTCCATTAATGTAAAATAATATGTATCTGCTCCAAAATGTAACGCCTTCTTCTTCTGCCCATCCCTCACCCCTCCACCATGAAAATGGAGCCCGTAGTTTTTTCCCATAATCCCGCTTAAACTGACCAATGAACCGAACCAAAAACATAACCTTGTTGGCGGCGGCACTCTTTCCTCCCCCCTCCTCCTCAGGTGACAGCGACAGGTTGGTGTGTTTGGAGGACGGCCTGTGGTCTTTCCCAGAGGCCTACTGCAAGATCGAGTGTCCCGAAGTTCTGAACATACCCGACGCCAAGCTGCTGACAGCAGACTGCCTGGCCTCGGGGCACGACGTCGGTTCCATCTGCCGTTACAAATGTAACCCAGGCTTTTATGTGATAGGGAGCCTCAAGAAGAAGACACCCAGGTTAGTGCTACAGCAGCCAGTGTTTGGAGGGCATTAATACTAGCATCACTCACAAAGAAATGTCTGTATTACATTACATTACAGTCATTTAGCAGACGCGTTTATCCAAAGCGACTTACAATTCAGATTCTATCACACCGTAGGCACAGCTACGGGAGCAATTTTGGGGTTAAGTGTCTTGCTCAAGGACACATCGACATGCGACTAGCGGAGCCGGAGCCGTGAATCGAAGGACGGCCCTGCTCTCCACTTAGCCACTGTCGCTAAGCCGCTTAGCCACTGTTGTTATTTGATTTAAGCATTTTATGCAACGGCATTATTTTTTGTTTGGTCCACCACCTGCAACTCTATGTTCGGTTTCGCTCACATTAGGGTCTAATAAAACATGTACCACTGTGTCATTACTCAGCCAATTGTGTTTTTTCTGCTCATTACATCACATGTTGTTAATGAGACGAGGGGGTCCTAACGGGAGGAGACACATTTTCCTTGCTGTCCTGAATTGCAGTTAAAATGCAATGTATCAAATATCTAACGAGTTGACTTTCACTCTCATATGAGGCCAGCATAAAAAAATACATTTTATAGATTTGTACACACTAAATTTCCACCCAATACGGTGGAAAACCATCGTCCACCAAGATCCATTTGCAGCTGGGTGTCTTTTTATGAGTTACTCTTTCTCAAACATAATGCGTAAACATTTTAATAACCCCGATGCTTTATTAGTCCAACATGTGAAAGTGAACAGCAGCAGCTATGAAAGAGCTTTAAACAGGACTTTCACCTTTGACACCATGTACGTACACACACACACACACACACACACACACACACACACACACACTGTAGAACTGCACTGAGCGGGGGTAATGAGTGCATTCGGTTGGGGAGAGTTTGTAAAGTAAACCTTCTGTCACTGGATGATACTACACAAGACGTTTCAGCCACCATGTTACATTCATTTTGTTCTAAACTCATCTGTCAGGTGGATTATATCTGTGGAACATCCTCTGGTCCAAATGTACGTCAGTATGCTTAGAATTTAAAAAACAAATCCACAAGAATCGAGCATGAACTAGAGGTGAAGAACTGGTGGCCAGTGTCCCAGTACTGGCTGCACACCGGCCTCCAGTTGTTTTGGCCGCATGTATTGCTCAAAAAAAGAAATGTAACTCCTTGAATGCAATTCAAACTGGTGCTGATCCTTAGAATTAAGATCACTCACAGATTCACTCTTTTGCTCTCTAGGAAGTACTTCAGGTTGGAGTGCCTGGAGGGGGGGCAGTGGGAGGAAACTAACTGTGAGCCCATATCCTGCCAGGCCCCTCCTGATGTATTCCAGGGCATGTACAACTGCACCAACGGCCTGTACTACGACACCCTCTGCACCCTGCAGTGCCCAGATGACACAGAAAATGTAAGACTTTCAACATCTGTCCATTTTTTTTATTTTTGGTCACATCACTATCAAAAGTCAATTTTAGATCAGAACAGGGTGGGACACTTGAGTCTTCTATACTGGATGCTGTTTAACTTGGTCTCGATGTAGTAAAAAAAAAACATCGTGTGATGGGATCACACTAGCTTCGGCACAAGGACCAAGTGCGTAAAGTGGGAGGGGCAATACCCCATTCCACCTACTTCCGGCGCCCTTGCTTAGACCACACCCATCTTCAAATTCAACTTCTATTTGATCTCAATTTAGGCCGTATATAAGAAGTGGATGTAGTCACCGAGACGTCACCCATTGGTTTGTGGACTGCCGTTTTGAAGCCTCGATTTGACGGTCGCCATCTTGCTATGGCAATTGACCATATTTGGACTGAGGAGGAGTGACAGAGACGCCGTACACGGCTCTGGTGGAGACCTGTCAATCTCAGTAGCCCCGCCCTAAAGCATCCCCTGCTTTATGGTCTGTTTGACTCTAAATGGACCATAATTTACTAAATGAACATCATGCTGTATTGAAGAAGACTTAAACTAGAGATTGAGACCATAAACTCATGTTTACAATGTTTACTGAGGTAATAAATCAAGAGAGAAGTAGAGTCATTTTCTCATAGACTTCTATACAACCAGAGGAGTCGCCCTCTGATGGTCAGTAGAGAGAATGCAGGTTTTTAAGACACTTCTGCATCGGCTTCAGTCGTCAGAACCGGAGCAACAACTGTAAAGTTTCATGATGGCGTCTTAAACGGTTGCGAAGCTATCGTGGTGGCAAAAGACAGACATATAAAAACCTGGCATAACCTCCTCTGTGGTAGTTCCTGTTGCAGTCAGTCTCTGCAGGACCAGATTTGACCTTGTTGTGAGCAGTTTCATCTCGGAACTACTTTCTTTCTACCAAACTACATTACTGATGTTGCAGCTCCATTAATGTAGCTCCAACTTGCTACGTCATGAGCCTCTCGTCCATGAGCAGACAGACACTTCCTTCTGTGCAGTGGTACGGTTTGGCAGATGTAGTTCAGTAGAAAGAAAATAGTTCATTCATGAAACTACTCACAGTGCCGAGTGCCATCTAGTTCTATTATATTGGAGACTAGGCAGACATCTCTACTCCCAATATCTCCAGTACTTGGCAACTACTAACTAACTAATTATGGTTGGAACTAATAACTGTCCCCACATAGTTCATTGATGACCACCATGGATTTTAGTATCTGCCTTTGTCTCCAGAGGGAGATTCGCTGCACTAAGGAGGGTGACTGGACTGCAGAGTTCACCATGTGCTCCAAGCTCCAGGGATCGTGCTCTCCTCCGGTCGATCTCAACTCTGTAGAGTACAGCTGCGACCAAGGGATGGATGTCGGTGAGTGCAACCTTTGTCAGGGATGAGAGTGTAATCCATCAAAATAAAGAGTCCTGATTATATTCTCTCCCTTCTGTTAAACAAAATAAAACCAAGCACAGGAGCCCGTCTTGTCTTTGGCTTCACTAGACTGAATAGAAAAAGCAACCACGGCGGTAGAGCACCTTTTTTTTATCGGCGTATTATGGGAGATTATTATTAAATGCTTTGGTTTTAAATGTCAGGATGAGACTCCTGAAAACCAACTGACAGACTTGCAGCAACCAACAACACACACACACACACACACACACACACACACACACACACACACACACACACACACACACACACAGTAAAAGCCCTCACAGTGATGGTTGCTAAAGGTCCAGACCACAGATGACTGTGTGGTCTCTAGTAATGTGGTCTGTTTCCTCAATGTCTGAACATGAATAAATTCAACAGATGCTAATGAGGGTTAGAGGTCAGTGTTGTTTGATCTTTCTTTTTTCAAACTTTTCCTTGCAGGTGCTGTTTGCTACCCGACATGCATTGTGGCTGTAGACATGGATCTGCGTGACCTGGTGGTTCTGCCCAATGGCTCTACAGTTGACTCTTTAAAGCACTGGATGCTGCCCACCAAAGTCCAGGTGAGACGTCTGAGGGTTAGGGTTAGTCAGTTTGATTAGTCTCCAATGATTCTATTTGAGCACACTTTAGTGTACATTTTTTAATATGTCCGTTCCGCACAACGTGATTGGGTGACCTTTATTCTTAGTGCCAAAGCTCAGAAAGTCAACCTAGTTCCGGAAAAAAATTATGTTGCTTTTTCACTGTGTAATATTGGCTTTATGTATTTATGACATTATTAACAGTTAAATTAACGTTAGCTTGGCTTATTAAAACATTAGCATGGCTTACTAGCACGTTAGCTAACATTAGGTTATGCACGTGAGGCTTCCGATGATGTAACCCAATCTCCAGTTTGAAACGCAGGCTTCCTGTTAACAATGTGTTGTGGGCTCTTTGGCATGACCATTGTGCTGCTACAGCTGAGAATTGAAAAGACCTACTGTTGGCAGTTTTTACAGAGTCAGTAAGGAAAAAATATCTATATTTGTCAAACACTAGTTTTATTCACAAGCTGGTATTTAATATATACTTCTACGCTTCAAATTTATTTCCATTTGATCCAGTTCAGCAAAACGCAGAGCTTAGAGGAGGGGTGCCGTACGGATCAGCTTGCAGAACCGGTTGCACCTGTTGCTGTTTCGCGTTGCTCGACGGGGCACGACGTGGTGAAAAATGAGAGCCTGGTTGGTTTCATTAACCACAACTGAACAAGGGGCTTGTGGATTTTGCTACCATTCGGAAACTCTTGGCAGGCTTTGTGAAACGCTCCTTGTTTTGCTGGCTGCCATGACAAACAGCGCTGAGTCCCTTCAACACAAAAACACCCATCAGAATGAATAATGCATCCAAACATCTGGTGGTCTGAACAGCAGCATGGAGTGCACTGAGCTACTGCTGCAGACCGATCATTTCAGTTGAAGACCTAGAAACTCATTTGGGGGACAGTCGGCGTAAAAAAACAAACATCCGCTGCTTTGCATGTTTGCAACCGAATTGTTCTCACTTTGTTAGTTACCTGTTACCTTCATAATTACTACTTTACTTATCTGACCTCATGTCTTTATGAGCCGTAGTGTCTGGTTTCTGCAACATTGAGAAACAAGCTCAATTTAATAAGCAATGAAACGGGTTTGTGCTTTGGCAGTTTAGAGCTAATGGTGTGTTAAAAGATAGATGGAGGGAGACGATGACTTTTTAATTAGCGTATATTGAACTACGTGGTTATGAGCTGCAACACATCCCCATCAAGTCATGCACCTTAATACCGGTCACACTGGAAGTACATTTCAAAAGGAGAAAAAGTTGAAAAAATGATATCCTGTCGAGTCTTCAACAAATGTACTGTGAAATCGGTCAATAGGTTGAGATCATTTCTAGCTTTTTCCAATAGAGATCAATGATTATTCATTTCTGGACTCATGTCCTTTGAATCTACTGAAGTCATCTGCCACGTTGTCTGTCCCCACCTCAGACAATTATTAGCATTTAAAAACGTTTTAATTTAGACCTTTCCAGTGTAAGTCATATTTTTTGAACCTCCATGAGACCAAAACACTTCTTGAACTGGACATATTTTGCAAGAATTGTAGTAAAACAAACACAAAGTACAGAAATGATTTTAAATTCAAAAAGTCTCTCTGAGTAACCGAGAATGCCTAAAAATCTGTCAAATTTCATCACAATATGTGCAAATGTGTTTCATATCAGATGTTTGACTGAATCATTGGCAAGACATCTTTAAAAAAACTAAAAACAATGAGGAAAGCATTTTTAATTCCCGGCTGCACCGGCTAACCACACACCATCACACAACCGAATCCGACTCATGTGTATTGCCAGAATGTGTTTGTTATCATTCAAGTGTTTTTGCATTTCTGGAAATCACAGGCAGATAGACGAGAGTAAAGGTTCCAGTTGACGTCAAGCCTTTCCGGAAACACACACATCTCACACACGCAGTGTATACAAGTCACCGTGAACGAACTCGTAGCAATGTCAGATCTTGGGTTGTGAGTTAGAGGGCTGATGTTTGGCCTTTTTAAGGTGGGTCATGTTACCCAATATCATATCTCAGGAATCGCTTCTATGTTAATGCTGTTGCAAACACTGCTCCAGTTTCGCCTGACATTTTGGGTGGTCCGCCAGGCAGTTAGTCCCCCCTTGCCAAGGTCAAATACTTGGACGGCGGTCCGGTTACTTACGCCATATCTCTGGCGCTGCCTCCTGATTTCGAGGCATTATGTTATTTCAAATCTCAGAATCAGGTCTCCCTCGCTGGGACGGGCTGCATAGGGAATCACAGAGGAAGGATCCACTTTCTCTGCCAATGTTTGTTAGTCAATCAGCTCTCTGCTCACCACCTTGTAAATTCCCGGGGTCAAATAAATGACCACAGCCTCGCCTGGTTCTCACCACGCAACTTTGAGTTTGGCATCCACTTAAGTTGTACGAGACAATTATTTTTCTTCCGTTACGAGGTTTTTTCATGCAGGCAGACACAGCAAAAAGCTTGAAATTGTCATAATGTATTGCATATGTCCGTGACAACAATGCAACATTTGCAAGTCTGCAATCAGAATGAGTGCAAGATGTCGTCTTGTTCATGTTTTATATAACAAGGTAAGGGAGGCCAAGTGCTAGCAGATCATTGGCAAAAATGTACCATGATTGTTTCGTCATTCGAAATAATAAACTATAAGTTCCCAGAAAATGAGTGTTTTTGTTGATCTCCCTTAACCTTTTTGTCTGGTGTGTATATTTACACAAAACTTATAGGCAGAACCCCATCACATTTACAGCACGCATTCATTCTCCCCGGAGGATGAACACTCCACACCACCATCAGGCCAAAATGTCAACACATTATTTTAAAACAATCCAATAGAAGTATTGATTTAAATGCATACATGCAAATGTATGTTTTCTGTCTCCCGTTAATCAATACTCACAGAGGGAAAATCACTCCATGAGTTGGTTGCCATTATGCTCCATCGATGGGTACTTAATGAAGTTAATCAATGGTTATACCTGAACACCACTTGGGAGCTTTACACTTTTTAAAAAATGCTTTTGTTAGAGTGCGAAATAGTTTCCATGGCAAACACAGTGGTTATCCACTCTACTTCTCATCTAAAAGGCACATACACGTCAATGCACTGCAGGCAAACTTTACTTCACCTCAGTAACAAATTTGGCTAAATGATGTTGGAACGCCTCGTAAAATCTTTGTCTTAAAAATAAAAGATGCCAGAATGAGTTGAGAAAGTCTCGCATTGCTCAATTGTCCTTCTAACACGTTTTGTTTTCCAGAGCATAGTGTGCACAGGGATGATGAAGTGGTACCCTGACCCTCAACACATCCATTGTATCCAGTCATGTGAGGTAAGAGTCCAAACAGCCGAGCCGCCCTGCTCCAAATACCCTAGTGCATGCCAATAGTTTCCATCCAGATGTCAGTTTCAACAAAGGTCTTTGGCCAAATACAGTATCAGTCAAGACTAAAATAGCCATTCACTCATTTAACAATTCCAAAGAATTAGAAACGGATTTGCTGCAGCTGAGAGTAACTGAGTTAAGATGTCTGTCCTGCTGATGTGAGGGTTAGAAACTCAACTGAACTGGGCTATCTGGTGGAAACGTGCCATATCTGAGTACCAAGGGGCTTTGGGAAGATAGTGTTTGATACCTCTTGCTTAACCAACCGGTGCGTCTCTTTTCCCAAACATCACTGCAGGTAATTCGGTTCTTACGTACCGTGTCAGCTATGTCCACATGTCTGCTTGCTTTCAAAGCCTTCGTGGTCAGGGAGTCCTCAGTTTGGCTTTCATCCTGTTATTTATCAAGGAGTACTTAATCCTTAAAACAATTACACCATTTCTGGGCATCAGCGCATTAAGTTTACTGCCCTAGCCAGACTTTTCCAATAATATCAAGAATGAAGCAAAACATGCCGAATCCCTGCTGCCATCATTACTCAAGATACCAGAGCCAGTGTGCAATGTGCTTTACATTTCATGATGACAAATTTATATTCTCACACTTCAAAGAATCCCTTTCGAATATGTCTGAAGTACCTTTTTTTAGTGTTTACAGGGATCTTCTTGTTGCCAAATGTTGTTATAGGGCTTCCAAATCGAATGGATTATCTGATAAAAGAAAATAAATGAATCACGGCATTCTGTTACATTAAGATGAATCGTTCAGGCTGACACAAGCCTCAGACACAAGACGTACGTTTATATGTTCCTGCCTTGTTTAAACACTGGTGTTCGCTGGAACTCTTACTGTTTTACAAAAGCAGCCGGATAAAGTTTCTTGTTTGTTGACAAGGTAACAAAACCTAATTTCTTGTGAATTTCGATGTATTTTTTAGAAAATTAGATTATACTTGTATTGGAAACAATAGCTGGATACTTTTAGTAGTATAGTCAAATTGTTTAGTTTATATTTTTGACTGAGACAGTCAATTAGTCATAAAAGTCATAATAAGTCAGTATAAGACAAAACATGTGTAATGTTTGCTGGTAATAGGTTTAAAATGAAAATGATAGATTTTTTCTTGTTTGATATACAGGAGAAAACCCTGCTCAAATATTCTTCCCTGTTTGTGGGAGGGTCAATAAATAGTAACCAAGTTATAAATAGACAATATAGTTCAGTACGTGAGTTGGTCCATCCAACACTTTTTTCAAAAAACAAAATATCTTACATCTCTTATTTCCAGCCAGATCATTTGCTGAATATTTATAGCAGGATGACTTGTAACAAATATGTTAAGGTTCTCATTTTTGTTACATTTAATCTGGTTAGTTTTGGCTTCACATTGCAATTAATTGCACAAAAGTACTATTTGTGACATAACTACATCCTGTCGTCATCCCCCATGTAAGCTGAGTCTCTCTATAGTCACGGCTGTGCTTCGGTTGTCGCCGTGTTGTCATTGCTCGGCCGTCCTCTCGGATCCTCTCTCTCATCCTCTCGGAACAAAATGATTGAAAAGTGTTTACGTTTTTCCAACTGACTCATCACACTCATTCAATCATCGTGTTCTGTTGCATTGTTTTACCTTTGTCCAATTCTGATGATAGCCAGCCAGAACTTCCTGTAACGGGTCCAAAAGTCCAAACCATTCTTTGTAACTGTTGAAACAAACCGAACCATGGTTCATTTATATTCGACCGTGACCACTTGCTTTCGTCAGACCAAGGTTTGGCTGTTTGGTCCCGACCGTGATCCGGGGGTGGTCTTGTTACAGATGCATAGTCACAATGTCAAAACCAAATGTGGTCAGTGTGAAAGGGCCCTGAGGCTCTAGTACATGCATATCCTCCATAGCCACGACGTAACCACTTAACGCAGAATTGGTTTGGTATGAATATTCACACTGCACCACTGTCACCTCAGAATTTACCCTTTACCAATACTTAAGTTTATGAGAATATAGTAACCAGGGGTAAGCTGGGTTTCTGTGAAATAGCCTCGGTCTAGTGTCCACTTACAGTACGAGCTTCATTCCAGAGTGCTCAACTACATCTCACAGTCTTCATCAACAGCTAAAGTTTGCTTGATTGTCATTGAGACGGCTCAACTGTCATCACACAACCTAAGCATTGAAACGGTCACCAGGTGGTCATATCTGAGGGAGGGGATCGTACACCACTTATGTTCAAAGATCTTCTTTGGAAAAGAAAACCATCCCCACAACATCAATCTATCGTGACATAGTTCTAGAAAACAGCTAGTAAGTCGACCTCGAGTTATGATTATTTACTGTCACAACATAGTTGACAGATCACCATGAATTGTCCTGAGCACATTCAAGTCCCCGGCGGGTAAAACTTCCTCAGATTTTGATGACCTCATGGTCTTCCCGCTCCAGCCTCTACACTTCCCATTACTCTGATTACTACTTCTGGTGGGAGTGGCAAAATGGTCAGCAAGTTGTTTGTTCCTTCCAACACCTTCATAATGTTGGGTATAAACATTATAACACAGCCTCTAGAGGCTGCTGTAGCACAACTGTAGACTTTTGGTATTGTTCAATGTTATCACATTTCTGTGTGCTGTAGTTTGTATCATAATTAAAAGTTAGTTGCAATTTAACGTCCATCGCTGCTCATTAATATTCTAACAGTGACAGTAAAGCATCTAAAGTCATAAACCCAGATCGTCTTTATTTGGCATTCATCCGTTGGGTTTAGAACTACTGGAACTACTGATGGAACACATAAACTGTTGATGTCTCACGGTATTCAAATATTCCTCCTACCTGCCAGCACTACATTTTCCCCTTCCACCTTTCCTTGAATGTTGCTAAGCAAAACAGTTGCTTCTGAACCGCTCCTCCATGACAACACTGTAAATTATACCAGACCACATGTGCTGCATAGTCCACTATGCCAGATCTCATCCAGATGCCATTGCTCCCAATCATTTTTACTCTGCCTCTCTTTCCATTCTTTCTTAAAACACGGTTGACAATAAATGTAAAAGTCAGCTCAGGTACCTCACCAGCACAGCGGCTCCTGTACCACTGCCAGTCTGAGACTCTTCTCTACTGGTTTCATCTACTTTACAGCCTTAGAAAGAGATGCATCGCTGACAAAAGTTTCTTTCTTAGAATGTTCTCCGCGTGATTAAAATGTTCGCTGGACCAATGAGGAGAAAGAATTTGATAAAAGTGTATAACAGACACCCAATTAAACACATCGACTCATGCATCACCTAATATGAGGCATTTCATGGCAAAGCGGACAGAAAATATTGAAACCATTTGGTTGGTGGACGCTGTGTTAATCCCCTTGATCACATCATGAAACACCTGTGTAGTAGTTTCCCAGTCTGAAAAAAGTAACTATGAGTTTCACATCGATGATTCAGGATCGTTGAGTTTATATCACAATAGTTCTGCGTGAGGATTATGCACCAATAGAACATGTCTGATTTAAGCTCTCCACTGGCTCAGACAGGCTGAATGTTTGCTGTTTGCTTTAGATGGGAGATCAGGGTTGAAATTAGCTGTAGACTAAGTAGACCAACAGTGAACTAAACAATCTATCAACACCTGAAACAACACCTGAAAACCTTCAAGACTATTGCCTTGTTCTGGCTCTGTTTCTTCTGAAACACATACTTGTTTAATTGAAGACAATCACAAGCAAAGCAAATTAATCAAATGAGTCTCTGTAGACTAAAGGCAGCCAGAAGAGTAGAGATTGTTTGTTCAGACAACAGACAACTGTTGGACAGCAGAATAACTTATGATTTGTATGTTAAATTTACAGTAAGTGGAATTAAAGTGATCCAAATGGAGTAAAAAAATACAGGTCTCTCCACAAGGCAAATCATTTGGCAGAAGCTTTCTTAGCTTTCCGAATACAAAGGTTGTCATCCAAGAAACTTAGATGGAAATATGGGACTGATTTTTCCCCCTTTTTAATGGAAATGACAGACTTTACTCAGCTGGAGCTTGTCTCTCGAGCTATTAAGTTTCTAGACAGCACACGCTTTATTTTACAATGATTCACCTCTGAGTGAATTCCTCCCCAGCTAACCATCCAATCCTTTCTGAGTAACTTTTCCGGGTCCAATTTATAGTGGCAACAGACTGAACAGAAAAGGCCAAACGCACTTCGCCCAGGCCAGCCATATCTTCCAGTCCCGCTGTGTTCGAGGGCCATTCGGTGAATGTCATATCTACAGCTTGTTCTGGGCCTTCCTTGGGGCCTCCCTTGAATCTTCCAGTTGGACTTGCCTGAAATATCTCCACAGTGAGTTACTCAAGAGGTAACCACTGCGAAAATCTACCAACTCCACTCTGAGCTGCTCCTGGAAACCAAGGTATATAGGGCTAACTGGCAAACCAGTACCATCCACCCATTATCAAAGAGGCGCTCTACTTCCTGCTAGAGCTTTTTGAGGAGGATGACACAAGGACACACAGTCAGCCAAATTCTGGAAAACATGTGGTAGAGAGGTGGTTCTTCCGTTAAAATGGGGTTTAACAGGTGACCTGGTGACACATCATGTTTTAATATGGAAGTACAAGCAGCGAATGTTGGCAGTCAACTTGCAGTGAGTGGCATTGTGAAGTGCAGGAACCAAACTTCAGTCATGTGTTTATGTGCACTTGAGTCATCTGATTATTCGCAGATTTTGGCAGTAACCTGATTTCTTAAACATAGAAATGAAAAACCATGATTTCCTTTTTAGAAGGTTAAGGAATTAAGACAAACCCAGCTGGGTTTGTGGAACTAGATTGCCTGGCTCATTTACGGTTAAATAGATTTCTAAAGCTTTTTGTTTTACATGCTCTTGCATGATATAGACCCAGAATGAGAAAAGTATCACTTTGCAATGGGCTGGACGACCAAGATCGCAACTTGTTGCTGTGCACCAAACAGTTCAATCCAAAGTCCGACCAAAACTGAAAGGAAGTACACGGTAAAGTTCAACCATTCAATAATCTGGTTTCTACAACCAGCAGGCTATTTGTTCAAATTCAAACACAGCAAAAACTCACTGTGTCTTCAGTCCAACGCTCCAACCATCAATATTTTTTAACAAGCAGGTTTGCGTTAGTGAACAGGTCTCACCAGTTAACATGGTTCTTATAGTCTAAAACAAATTGACTTATAATTAAAATACGCCAATATGATGAGATAAAAAGAAAAACAACGGAATAAACTCGGCTTTTACAGAAATCTGGACTTTCTATGTTTCTTTTAATTCTGAGCATATACAAATAGCCAATGATTCAACAAGTACTATGGCGTATATATCCCATAATGCTGGGTACATTGAGGTGGATTGTGTCTTACAATCCCCAGACCAACACACACACATACACACACACACACACATATATATCTTGGGTGTTTTTAGCTGTGTTTTGGGTCATTATCCTGTTGGAGGACCCATGACCTGCGACTGAGACCAAGCTTTCTGACACTGGGCAGCACATTTCGCTCCAGAATGCCTTGATGGTCTTGATATTTCATTGTACCCTGCACTGATTCAAGACACCCTGTGCCAGATGCAGCAAAGCAGCCCCAGAACATAAACGAGCCTCCTCCATGTTTCACAGTAGGTACAGTGTTCTTTTTTTGTATGCTTAATTTTTGCGTCTGTGAAAATAGAGCTGATGTGACTTGCCAAAAAGCTCCAGTTTTGAAACTGGAATTTGCCAAAATGCATATTGACAAGCCACAAAGCTTCTGGGAGAATGTCCTTTGGACAGATGAGACAAAAAAAACACCCAAGAATGGCTCAGAGCAAAACATTGGACTATTGTGAAGAGGCCTTCTATGAGCCCTGATCTAAATCCTATTGAACATCTGTGCAAGGAGCTGAAACATGCAGTCTGGAGAAGGCACCCTTCAAACCTGAGACAGCTGGAGCAGTTTGCTCACGATGAGTGGGCCAAAATACCTGTTGACAGGTGCAGAAGTCTCACTGAGAGTTACAGAAATCACTTCATTGCAGTGATTGCCTCAAAAGGTTGTGCAACAAAATATTAAGTTAAGGGTACCATCATTTTTGTCCCGGCCATTTTCATTAGTTTGTTCTTTTAAATGATTCTGTTGAACCACAATTCAAAAGCAATGTCTGATTTTCATTAGTTAATTTTCAGTACATTTTTATTTATTATTACTTTTGTCAGTTTCAAGTTATTTCAGTGACCATTGTGGGTTTTTCTTTCTTTAAAGGAAGAGTACCAACTATTTTGTCCACGTGTGTATGTACAGACCTCCCTTGAACTCCCCGAACTGTCTTTCTTATCAAAAGGTAAAACACTGAGTCAGAAGAGAACACCCCCCCCAAACTGTTTTCAGAAAGCTCTGGGCGAGAGGGGTGAACGGGGCGAAGGAGGGGGAGATGATAGAATGTCTGCTATCAAAAGATTGATACAGATACTTGGTAGAAAGTGAAAAATGAATATGTTGCTGCTTGACATGTTTGTGTTTTATAATGTTGTGATGAAGAGCTTTGCAGGTGTTGATGACAGCACATGCTCCCCTAGAACCAGCCAATGCCAATAGGTGGAATATTTATGTTAGCGAGGTGTGGGGGTTGGCTGCTGCTGCTCTCTTTTTTACGCTGATTTGAAGGGAGTTACTGTGTAATGGTAATACACAAACCAGTTGACCTTTTAACTACCCATTAGGGGAATGAGGTACGCAGTCAACTCTGGCTGGTTCAATACTCTTCACGCGTCAGTGCATTTCTGTTGAGAGTAAGGTATATGCTGCCTAGAAGGGAATGTAAATAATAATTAACCTCAACATGAGCCCTGACCTCAAAATGAACCTCAATGTGGGCAAAGCGGTGGGTTCGCTAATTGAAACAGTCTTTATCAAAGAAAGACGTGAGTGTAAAATGGAGATCAAACCCACAACAAAGCTCGACTATGGAAATATGTAACATTCAAATAAAACTGACAGCAGGTCAAGCAAGTATGCATTTTGCGCGACTCTCCGAGGCTGTAAAGGTAATTCAAAGATTTATGCACTACTAGTGATTTGGGTGAGGCATCTGGTGCAATTGCTGGTAAAGTATTTACTCAGAAACGGAACGATTAAAGAGATTTATTTATGCCACAGCAGTTTAGCTGGGAAAGACATGGGGATTCGTCAAGTAGGAGTTCTTTGAAGTGAAGAGAAAACGGCAGAAATCTTCTCAGCAGCTGCTCTCTCCCCCGTGCCGGTTAGGTAGAGCCCCAAGTCTTTGAAATGACTCCATCAGCTCGTCGGAGAAAGCCAAAAGTGTCTTTGGCCCTCAGCATTTATGTTCATATTATTGGCACCTCAGGGAAGCCCTCGTGGTTTTGCTGAAAACATTAAAAAAGGTTTTCATCGTGACGTGTTTGAGATTCTATGTAACTTAAATTCCACAAATTTGCGTGCCACTCCGGAGTTTCCCCAGAAGGACTCCCACACTGGCCAAAGTATGCTTAAAAGAAAAACAGTTTGAGGAATTGTCATTAATAGGTATTCCAAGTAAGGTGAAGCATACCTGTCCACCTACTCTATCTATTCTCTTTAAATAAAAGATCAGCTAAATGAGACCTACAAGTAAACCTCTCTTTGCTTAATTAATTACACTGAAGACTGACCTCTGTCAGTTTGTCTTATTGTATAAACAATTTTCCCTCCATGTCTTCGAAAAGACTCCAGAAGTGAGGACCATTTCTACTTGTGCAAGCAGGTCTCGAGTCATTTACTAGTGATGTTTCCATCACCTGACCAATAAGGACGTTCAGACTTTAAACAAATGGTACACCACCATCCAAATGACATAGCAAACATCACGGCACTAAGTCATAACTGTTAAGCACCATAGGCAGCCACATATACCCTTTACCTACTCTAGCTTTATTGTTTCTGCATTGTTCACAGAGTTCTCTGAACCCATCGCCTATACATCCGACAACGATTTGGCCTCTAGGGGGCCAAAACTTCGGAGGTTCCGGTGTCGCGATAACGAATAAAAGGTATCCAGGCCAAGACTTGACTCTCCGTGTGCTGGTCATTTTTTACAGTCCAATTAGCAATGCGTGAATGTAGTTTAAGTAGCGAGACGACGTATACGACCAGGTTGTTTCACAAGAAGCCAATTAGCCAAGCTAATGAAAAGCTAAATCATCGTCAGACGTTAGCCGATGGCTTGCGACCAAAGCCGGCTCAAACGTGACTGGTCAATACTACTTGGACTGAAAACGGAAAACCAGAATGCTTCTGATACCCAAATCTTGTCCGGTTGCCTACGGATTCTGCAATCACATGCAGATATCTGTTTATAGAGATCAGGCCAAGAAGCCTTAACCAACATCCTGTCCGCCATCATGATATGCAAACATCATGCAAATGTTCTACAAAGCTAACGTGGAGGATAAAAGGCTGATTAATCGAGAGAACTATGCTAATGTCAACTGACTTTAGGCTGAGTTAATGTAGTCACTAAAGTAATGTTCACGAGAACTCTTTGCTAAATAAATCATTGACATGCTTGTGCATTGAATCGAAGTCCCGCCTTCATCTTGTTCAACAGACAGAAGTGGCCCTCTCTCATTGGCTGATGAGTAAGCTTTGTCAGAGCAAATGAACAACTTTGATTGGACTTGGATTTTGCTGCATAAGTGTTTATTTTTATTTGTTTCATGGACATTTGTTCCAAACAACATCAAGGAATATGACAATTTTTTTTTCTTTTTAGCCTTCTCGGCCTCCCATGCTGTGTGAGGGGACATTATTATATTGGGGAGACAATTAACACTGTTCCTTGTTTGTAACTTGTCTCTAGCCTTTTGGAGGGGACGGCTGGTGTGACACCATCAACAACCGGGCCTACTGCCAGTATGATGGAGGAGACTGCTGCCCGTCCACACTCTCCACCAGAAAGGTACACAAACAGACATTTCCAGCGCCACACCTCCCGTCCGGCGTATTTACGTAGGAACAGAAAGATTGGTTTCCATCACTTTCTTACCATCTTTTTTTGTTTTAAAAATAACAATATATTTTGGACTACTCTTTCCACAGATATGATACAACTTCACAATTTCTGTCCACTTTTGTTTAAAAGGTGGCAAAGCGTTGCTTGGCTGGCTCCAGGTCTCGCATATTGCAATCGAGATGGAGCTCAGAGGCCGGGAGCTGGATTCAAAGCCAGATTCTTCCTGTTTACTGTAGTAGAAATCTGTCTCTCTTGGCTGGAGCGCCGCGCCGCTACGCAGGAGACTCCGACTAAGCAAACAAACACAAATCCTGCTACTTTCCCTTCTCTCCTGTTAACGACTGCGCCTATTTAGTCTCCGTCATCTGTACTTAAAACAACAGAGGAGACTTGTGCCCTCCGGTTTTTCCACTCAAATGGTAAATAAGCTGGTTTTCACCACCGCACGCTGCTGTACGCCTTCTCCCCTCTCGCTTTAAGCTCCACTGCCGAGGGAACGAGTCGGGGTTCAAGACGTCAGAACACTTGCCAGGGTCCAGACGTTGGAATGCGCCCACTCCATCGAGTCAAATTCTGTCTGATACTAGAACACACTTAGCTATGGGCTTAATATACCTGATGAGATTTTCTCCTATTACACTTAAACAGTTGTAGCTGACAGCATTGTGTTACTGTGGTGGCTTCATTCAAAGCATCTCAAGTGGAGATGATAAAGGTTTTTGTTTGGGACGTAGGTCTGCAATCTAACCGCTTTTCTCAAATGAAAGAAATGTTTAATTGAATCAGTTTGACAAATACCTTGAATATCTTCATGTTTATCCGTCGTAGCGAACGCTCCCCCGGCGACAGCTCGTTGGTGCTCGCCGCAAATGCAAATGCTTCACATTACACTAATTGCTTTCAATGATTGCTGTGTATGTTGGGTGGCTAAGAGGAATGGTATGAATAATAATGAGCAAGCTGCGGGGTCAGGCCAGCGGTGGAAACCAGGCCACTCATTCCCTCAACTGCTTCTACATAAACACCTCTTCCCCCCCCCCCCTCTCTATATACCCTATTTGGCTACTGTACAGCCACATATTCATGACACTCATTCACGGGGGCCCTGCCTATTAATTCATACGGCCTACAGTTGGCCTGGTCCTCGGCTGTCTCCTTCATGTCCGTGGCACGCCATGACTAAATGAGAAGGAGTTCAGCGGGTCTGTAGCTGCCATCACAATAAATGAGCTGCCAGACTGCCACTAACTTCTCTTTCACGAGGGGGGGGTATAGGGGCGGGTGCAGCAAGGTGTCGGTCTGCGGTCTAGTTGGTCACTGTTCACTTGGCGAGGGAGTCAAGTTAAGCGCCGTGAGAGGTGGCATCCTGCAGAGCGACGCCGTTTACAGAACTCTGTTTCCACGTGGCTCGACTTGTGCAGGTGAAGGAAATGACAGGTTTCTAAAACCGCATCACGTATTTTCTCTGCCGCCACACAGGCAAGAAAACCCAAACAATTTGCTTTAGTTTTGGTACGTATCCATGAAAACACACACAGACAAGTTGGATTTTTTTAGCCTTATCTGCAAGTAACGGGGCTTCACAGATTGTTCCGGTATCTGGCGGGATGAGTCACCTGCGCATGAACTCCATCAAATATTTGAATCAATATTCATATCTGCCAGCTAAACTGCTAGTTGGGGCCTTTTTATGGAGCGCAGGCAGTATTGGTTTTATTTACAGGGGGGTTGCAGCAATGACAAGGGAGGAGGGATACGTGAGAGATTATTCAGGTGGGATTCGGTTGTCGGCCAACAGGGGAAAACTCCAGAAGAAAAGATCGGGGCTGCCACACCATCTATGGAAACACACAATCTTGGTTTGATTTGTTAACTGGAGTCTGTTTGAGTCCAACAAAGGTCCAAGGTAGTAAACGCAGCAAAGAGCGAACAAAAAGAAAACGGACATGCTTTTTACGTTTGATGTTTTTGATCAATTGCGAGGGCTGAATTCATCACTTCCAGAGGGTTTCTTATCACATGAATTGCGCTCGTGAATGTGTTGCTGTAAACAGCAGGGAGGCAACGAATGCAGCCAGATGACTTGGCTTTGGTTTCTGCGGGTGAGGCAAAAACAAGCCCTCTCTCTCTCTCTCTCTCTCCTTCCAGAGGTTGTTAGGAGGCATCGAAAGGCGGAGCGTTGCTTGGCTCACTCTGCGCCCGCGTCGATGAATCAAGATGTTAAGGAAACATTTAATGGCCGCAGCAATTCCTCTTAAAATGGGACGGCTGGCATTTTTAAAGTGAAAGGCCTTTCTGCCGAGAGCCCTTGGCGAAACCGTTACCCCGCTGCCAACCCCAATCAGTCGCTGCCTCCCACTCCACTCGTTCGCCTCGCTCGCAGCCGTCCATATGTGTCTCTCTCTCTGCCTCCCACTCTCCTTACCCCCTCTCCATTTTCTCTCTCCCGATCTCCCTTCTCACTCCTTCCCTCCGGGAGCGAATGTTTACATTTCTTGCAACAGACTGCTTCGCGGGGCACCAGAGTTTATTTTGCAACCTGTGGTGATGGCTCGCTTCCTAGACCAGAGCTGGCAGCCTCTCGTTGTTGATTCTTAACATGTGTTCATCCGCTCACCTCCGCCGCCCCCCCACACTCCCCGAAGACCCTCAAGGTTTTTCTCGCCATTCAGAGGCCCGGTTGAACCATTTGACATCATGCGCTTTATCGGCCCCCGGGGGGCTGTTGGAGTTCTCTTTGAAACTTTTAGGAAACACAACAAGTCCACTAAGACCGACGCTCGGGTTACTAAGCGGCGCTTTACCTTTCAGCGCAAACGCGATGGAAGAAGCCATGGACGGGGTCCACTAGCCACCGGGGTCGGGTTCGAGTGAATGTATTTTTATCGTCTGTTTTTGCCATTTAAAGCCGTGCTCTTTGCTACAGTTGAAATGTTACAGCCCTGTGGGGAAGAACTCCTGAACTAGTGCATTTTTCAGTGACGTTGCTCTCACTGAAAGCCCTGATGTAATATTTCCTCTCACCCCGCTGCTATCCATCCTTCTCTTCTAGGCTTTTGTTGCACCTACTTGTACTATATATATATATATATATATATATATATATATATATATATATATTTGATCAGATTCCACCAAAGACATCTTTAACAGGGAAACCCACTGAATGTTGTGCTTGTTTGCTGACAGGTCATTCAGTTCGGGGCGGACTGCAACCAGGACGAGTGCACTTGCCGAGATCCGGACACCGAAGAGAATAAGAGCAAAGCCAAGGACTCGGGAGGAGGAGGAGGAGGAGGAATGCAATAAGATGGAGGGATGAAAGAGGCTGAACTTGAGTCACACCACAGACTACACACCACAACACACAAATAACGAAAATATTACATTTGTAATGCGGAGAACGCAATTGAAGTCAGAATTTACACGATAAAAGGCCTTTTTTATTTCATCCTATGCGACCTTGCTGTCCAATGGCACTACATCTGAGTCATGTTGGTTTCAAAAACAGTATTCCGTCCCTCACAAACATCCACATGTGAACAAATTGTTTTCTTTTTTCTGTGTAGAAGATTCTATTTATAAAAGGAAACCCCTCAGTGAGGAAACATTGAGGTAAAAAAAAAGCAGTCCATCCACTCCAGTACAAATCAAGTCATCATCAAACCGCTCTTCTAAATGGATTCAAGTACTCTGTTCAGTTATTTAACTCGTCGGATGGCTTTTCAAAACCAAAGGAGGACTTTTAAAATCTAAGTCGAGTAGACAAGTCGCCTGATCACTTAAAAAAAAAAAAAAAAACGTCATTCACGTCAACATTTTTGGAATTACAAACGATTACTTCCAAATCTAAGTCGGGCAAATGTTAAATATCAGTGTCAGAATTATTATGGATTTCCACTGAAGCAAAGATGTACTTCATATTGTAATGTTGGAGTCAGAAAATCAGTGGTGGAACGTTAAGATAAACCAAAAATGAAGATTTAAAAAAGGCTTTTGGGAAGGAGGGCATTTCATTTGCTCAACACGGACCTGAAAGTCGTCTCCTGCTTGCATGTATGTATGTCAGGTTCTGGTATCCGTTAGCCAGAAATGATAAAGTACCACATGTTGTAAACTATAAAAAGAAAGAAAGAAAGAAGTGTAATCATGTTCTCTGTGATATTTTACAGTACTTTATACTCTATATGAAATAAATAGCAACTTTATATCGACCCTCATGAAGTTTGGATTGATTGATTCATGGTCATTAACAGAGGACGCGTCTGTTGTTTGGTTTCTATTTTAATATATAATAAGTACATGCAATGAAACACACATTTGTTGGCCTGATGCCTTTTTTTTAGATTTCATGACAAAAAATTTAAAAGAATGAACTAGGTTTCATACTATCATACAGATATTTGTGTCTCATGACATATGCAGTGATCAATACTCGCTCAGCTTTAGATGTGAAATGACTGAATGAAAAAAGTCTAAAGGTGCTATGTTGTATATTTCCATCACTGTGTCGTGGTTTGTTGAGTGTAAATATGGACATTCTATTGATTGTGGTTTGTGGACAGATAAATATACATTTTCTTTGAGAGAGGGGAGCTGTCTGTGCTGAAGAACATGACAGAAGATGTGTACATGTGTTCTTGAGGACCTTCGCCAAGCTCAAAGGTCGCCCATCAGAGTGGACATTGATTCAGAAACAGCAATGAAAATGTAACGTGCAGCAGGTCTAACCTGAGGGTAAAGCACAATGCATACGGATGGCGGCATTGTGTTCATAAAATGACACAGAAAGACCAAGAAGATAAATCATGAGAGTATATGTATCTTCCAGGACCTTCGCCTCGCTCAGAGGCCATCCTTAACATAATAACACTACTTTAGGCCAAATTCAGACGATGGCTTTCCACGCTTTTGCACTTCACAACATTTGTTTTCCTCACAAATTGATGATTTAATAACCTTCTAAATTTGTGATTTTTTTTTTCTCTCATAAATTTGCCATTTTAATCTCAGATAACATCCAAGTTTTTTCCGTAAATGTACAACTTTACAAATTCAGATTTCTTTCCCCTCGGAATAATAACTCCGCTCCATGATATATATATATATACAGTATATACT